CGAAGATCGAACTGTCATGGAGTTTGTCGACCATGAATCCCGTGAACTGTCATATAACTTCCCTTCGACGTTCACGCTACCCTCTGAAGGATGCCTGCCACCTAGAGCCTTTGTCTAGCCGGCGGTTGTACTGGGAAGAATCCATTGCATGCGTCCGTAGCCAAAAAAATTACGGTAATGCTCTCTTGAAGAACTTCCCGTTAGTCTTCTTTTAACCGCTCTTTCGTCTTGCACTGTTAACTACATACATTGTTGAATTTTGGAAGGCATGACCATTACATGTGTATATAGCACAGCCGCAGTAGGTCTTGTGAAGTTTCCAGCCCGCTTGCGCTTTCACTAGACTTCACTTAATATTTCCTGCTTAAAGTTGTGCGATTTAGCACTGGGCGGCCAATTGGGTTTCGTATGCCTTCATTTGCATTCTCTCTAGACCTGTGGTTCAGCAGAAGAAACATAAGTTCACTTCAGATGGATTAATCGCACTTCCTTTCGTTGTGCTACTTGTTGTTAGCCATTTGGTTGCTTCACAAAGTGGCTCTGATTTTGCGTTTATTCCAGGATTTCTTATCGTAGACGAAGCTATTACAAAGGACCTCAAATCCTATTATTTGTTGTGATCGTCTCAAGAAAAAGCAGGACCGGTAATGGACTCTATCGCACAATTACTCATGCAATTTACAAAACTCATGGTAAATCAAGGGTTATTCAGTACCTATCCTTTTCTATTGCTTCAAGCAAGGGTAGCCCTTTCTGAGTGATTGCGGAACGCCTGGGAATTCGTATCTCTCAGTAAATAATGAGTCAGAAACATGTAGCATAAATTCTAGCGTTTCTTCAGTGGCAAAAACAGAAGGTAGGTTTTTATTGAAGGACGATTTCTGGCTGGCATTTCGTGACGAGCCTAAGCCACGTTAGTATTTGCGCAAAGCCTTTAAAATTCTGTCAAGTCGTTAAGCGGTAGCAACTGATTGTACTACCTCTTTGATGTGCAACTTAGATTATTTTCAGAAGGTTGTGCTTTCTATCTACGTGCATCGGTCCTGAAACAGCTGTGCATTAAGCTACTATATTAGCTGAGGTAACTGACAGACTTGGTCAACTGCTGTTGTTGTTTTGTCTCCCCTTGATCTGTGATGTTCTTTCTCCCATTTTTCAGATGTCACAAGGTCGCATTTCTGCCTGTGCAGAGACAGCGCCTGTGTCGGCACCAGCGCCACCAACATCCATGGCAGTGCCGACGCTCTCGCAGTCGCCTCCAGCCATCCTGCCGACCACGAATATACCCCCGGTCGGAGCCAGCGTCTCACAACCAATGCCTTCCTTCACCGCTTACTCAAGTAGCCAATCGCAGCAG